GAAGGTGGGGTGCACACTCTTCTTTCTATCTCTCTCTACTCTCCCTCTCTTCCACCTCACTAGAGTTCTATGTAGAGCTCTCCTATTAGAGTTATATATCACTACTGTTTAACAAAACCATTGGCCTTTGCTCAAGAACCTAACCTGAGTGGGCATGTTCAGCGCAATACATTTCAACCACTAAACTTAGGGTGATTTGGGGCTTTGCAAACTATTACCAACACTTGGGTCTAAGCAGTAGCAAAATAATATATTGAGCCCAATAAAATATCTTAAAACACTCTTAATAATGGCGTTCGGGGGATAAATCCAATTTTCTTGCCCAAATGTCCAAGCGATAGTTTAGTATGTCCGGGTGCCTTTATTTACACACTACATTTGGTTTCAAGGTATATCACTACTCAGTTCACATCTTTAATAATTTAAAAAAAATAATAATTTTTCTCAACATACACCACAATATTCCATTTTTGCCCTTAGTACACCTCAAATTCAAAAAAAAAAAAACCCTAACTGTTAGACACTTACCATCGACGGCAGCAGCTATCACTGACAACCACTATCAAAGCCAACCATGGCCACCGCCGTCAATCCTTCATTTCGTCTTCACAACTATCGCTGCTCACTTCCTAGTCCCGTAAGTCGCCTCTATTCCCAGAGACCTACCACCTCGCAGATCGTCGCCATCGTCTTCAACCCCTCTCTCCTTTCTCGCATTTGTCGCTATCTCCTTCTCAGCTCCGTCATCGCCTCCTTTCGTAGATCACCTTCACCGTTGTTAACCCCTCTTTGCACTTGCGCTCCGTCGCTGTCCCCTTCCTAACCCAGTTGCGCCTCCCTTCCGTCACTAACCTCGCAACCCACCACATTGCAGATCGTGAGAATACAGATCACGAGAGAGAAAGAGAGAGAGATCATCGGTGAGGGTTTGTGGTGATGGGGATTTGCCGGAGCTGGAGAGAGGCGACGAGGCAACGACGGTGAAATGGCGGCGGCTGCAACAATGGTGGCTAGAGTTAGGGTTTAAATGTTGTGTATTCAACTAAGGTGTGTATTGATATTCTTTTGTGGTCATTTTAGTCATTTTAGGTAAAGTCATTATTGTAATAAAAAAATAACCAATTAATGGTGTACCTTGAGACAAAATGTGGCATGTAAGTAGAGGTACCTAGTATGTCCATAAGGACAAGACACTGCGAAATGACTAAAATGCCCCTATATATAAAACATACAAACACTTATCTGTTCAAAATTAGTTTCTTAAAACCCTATCTTTCTCTCTTCCTCATCTTCTCTCTGTCTCTCTTTCTTTCCTCCGTCTCTCACTCTGATGAATGCCAACGCCAACGCCAACGCCATGGCTTCCATCTCTAGGCCCATAGTGGTTCCATCACTTCAGATCTATGAATGGTGTCACGGTGGTCAAGAGGTCACTATTGCTCGTGTCTTGTCAGGTTGAAGATCAGAGTTGGAGGATTGGTAGAAGGGGTCAGCGCCGAAGCACGCTTTCAGTTCTATTTCTATGAGATCTGAGTTCGCCGCCGCCGTTAGAAGCACGTTATCTTCTCGGTCTCTCTTTCTCATCATTTCTCTCTCTCTTCATCTTCTCGATCGCACATATATAATTCCTAACTTTTCTCTCTAAGAAGACACGGCAGCGAAGAGGTATTCGACAACGGCATCGCCGGGGATGTCGCGCCGACGAAGTTGACCAGTAAGGTTGCTAAGAAGCACATCAAAAATCAGAGCGCTGGTACCGAGAGCCCTATCTCTGACGCCATGGCTTCCATCTCCAGCACATCAAGAATCAGAGTATTGGTATCGAGATCTTAGTTCTCGCCGTCACTAGATCTTCCACCACTGTCTTTCTCACTTCCTCTCTGACCATTGAAATCGAAAAACCTTTTGCAAATTTGAACATATATATATATATATATATATTAGGGTTTTGAGATCTGAGATTTGATCCAGTTCTGCTCTCTTCTCTTCCTCATCCAACCATCACCGCAACACAAACCCTCTCTCTTTCTCATCTCAAATCAGAGTTCTATATTAGTGTGTTTGGTTTGAATTTTTTGAAAATTGAGTTTTTTATTTTTTGTATTTTTTTTAATGAATATTTTTTAAATTTTAAGTATTTTTTTTTTACTTTTTTAGATGCATCTTATTTAAATGTGTCTAAAAAGTAAAATATTTGTGAAAAAATTAAGAAATACACAAAAATATGAAAAATGTACTAAATTTTTATATTTTTTTTTTGTATTTTTGGTATTTAGTGGATTTTTTAAAGATTTTTTTCATAAAAATTATACTTTTTAAATGTATTTATGTTAGGTGTGTCTAAAAATTAAAAAAATTGTTTAAAATATTAAAAAAATTCAGTAAAAACAAAAAAAAAATACGAAAAATATGACAGTAAAATTTTTTGAAAAGCGTTTTTAGAAAACTCAAACCAAGCAAAGTGATTTTTTTTTTGATCAAATGAATCAATCTCTCTTGCTCTTTTTATTTTATTTATTTATTTTTGTTGTTATTGATTGTTGTTGCTGATGATAATGAATGTTGTTGATGAGATCCGTAATAGCATTGAATAGATTTGGCTCAACAGATAGGGAGAGAGAAAGGATTCCAACAGCTTCACGAAGAAGCTCTTATTACGATGGCAATAAATGTTGCCCTTTGATGGTGTGCATCATTTTGCAGCTCCTATTTAGTTTTTTTTTTGTTCTTTTTTGTTTTGTTTTGTTTTTTTTTTTTTTTTTTTTTTAAGGAATGTTCTTGAGACAGTCACTTCAGACCATCCTTGAGTAAAACATGCATTTAAGCTTGAACCTAAGGATGTCCAAATTGATGATGATGATGATGATGAGGCCAATGAGTATGGCGAAGTAGTCGAAGAAGTACTTGGAAGAGGCACGTACAAATCTTTTTTTTTTTTTTTGATGATGATGATGATGATGATGATGATAAGTAAATAGGATTTGGTGATTATGTTGTTGTTGATGAACAAATATGATTTGTTGTTTTTGATGATGATGATGATAAAGAAGCAGATTGTAACAGATATAAAGAGAGACATAAAAAAGAGATTTGAACATATGTTTGAATTTTTATTTTATTTTATTTGTTGTTGTTGATGATGATGAAAAAGAAGCATATTGCAATAGATAGGGAGAGAGAGGAGAGATCTGAACATATAGAAAAATATATATATATATATATATATATATATTTGAACAAATAAGGTTTAGTGGACTCAATGAGGAGGATGATGGTGTTGGTGATCTGTTGTTTGAATAGATAAAAAACGAACAGGTAGAAAATTTCAATAAATAAAAAATTTGAACAGATAAAAAAAATTAAACAGATAGAAATTTCAACAAATAAAAAATTTGAACAGATAAAAAAAATTAACAGATAAAAAATTTAAACAGATAGGAATTTGAAAAGATAAAAAAAAATTCAACAGATAGTCAACGAATAGTCAAATAGATAAAAAAAAGTCAAGAGATAAAATTGAAAACAAAATGTTCTTCTAGACTTCTTACCAAACTATTTCATAAAGTGTGGACCTCTCGTCAACAACAACAAAAAAAAAAATATCCACTTAATGTCTTATACCCTCCTTAAATTAGATTTATCACCAAATAAGGCTCTTAACAATTAGAGGGATTCTATTTACACTCAAAAAATCATTAAGTACTCCAAATTTTTAAGTACACCCTATTTAATTATTTGAAATTTTATTTTACTCTCATTACGCACTATTATTTTTCCTAAATTACCCTCAAAGTAAACCCAACTAATAAATAATAAATAATAAACAAACTAAAAAAAATAAATATTTCAAATCTTTTCAATACAAAATATAATTCTCAAAAAAAAAAAAAAAAAGCCAAACTTTTACATAAGTATTATAAAACTTTTCCCATTGCCAAAAAAAAAAAAAAAGTCTAGCATTATATTACCGAACAGCCCCAAATTATTATTTATAACAAAGTGCTAGACAAATATATAGCAACAAAATGCTAGACAAATATATTTTTTCCAGCAACATAACACCGGACAAATGTAATTTGTCTACCATTGTGTGACTGAACAGATACTTCACAGTGGGCTCCACTGACTTTGTTATGAAGCAAATTGAAATTTTTCATTTATATGGCAACATAATGCTAGGAAAAACTATTTTGTCTGGTAACACAACACTGGACTAATTAAAATTCACTAGCATTTTATTACCAAACAGCCGCAGCACAAATTATTACCACATCATTTGGAAGGATGTGGCTCTGTAAATGTATAGCCACAAAAGGCTGGACAAAACCATTTATTCCGGCATTATAGTACCGAATTTTTGTAAATTGTTTCGCATTGTGTGACCGAATAGGTACTTCCATGTGGCTCTGGAAATATATAGCAACTAAATGCTGAAGGGATCTATTGTTTCCGACAACTGAACACCGGAATAATTCAAATTGTTTAGCAATATGACACTGAACTGGTCCATAACACTGAAAAAAATAATATTACTTCCAGCAAATGGTACCATATCCCTTCAAAACACTTTAATACCATTACAATGTATTACAAACAATAACAAATCCATATGTTCGCCAAAATAAGTTTCCATTGACATAAATATTGAATACAAAATAGATGTGAAACTGTTTAAAATTCTTACAAAAGTATGACAATTCATTACTTGTCCAACCAAGCATCCAGTTTACAAAAGATCCAAGGCATCCGCAAAAACTATGCCATTAGGGAAAAGTATATCCCAAATTCTGTACGACCTAGGCATTCACAAAAACTATGTCATAAAAAAAAAAAACTAGATCCCAAATTTTGTACGGGCTAGGCTTTCACAAAAACCATGCCATAAAAAAAAACTACATCCCAAATATCATGCACGGTTAACACAAAACTATATCCCAAAAAGTATACGGGCTAGACATTATGCAAAATTATGTCATCAAACAAAAAGTAGATCTCAATACTCATGTACGGTCCATCCTACGACGTTTACAATAGTAGACTTGAGGCTCTGTATGTGTCAAAGTAGATCCCAAACTTTGTCCATCAAGAACTTGCAGCATGCGACCAATGGTTTCATACAGCATGTCAGGGTGCAAGACACACTCATCACGACCGAGCCTATGGATTGCAGCACCAACATTGAAAGTAGCATCATTACACTGCAAAAAAATTTGATAAAAATCGTACTTAGTGTTTGATTTATGGTGAACCACTTAAAAGTGAAAAAAGTTAATTCACAATTTGCTTACCCACTCAGGATCCATAGTAACATCATTCTCAGGACGTTGAACACGTGGATCAAACTGAGAGTGATGTGTAGGATTTTGAACAACCCGATGCGAAACACGAGCATACCACTCACGGTATCTCCGTACACATTCAGATGGCCACTGCTGTACAGGCACACTGTGAGCATTAATGGACAACACATGATTCTTCCATTGCGCCCATATCGTGTCATGGTATTGATACATGATTCTATACTGTCTTGGTTTACTGCCTCGTGTAGCTCGAACAGGAGATAATGGTTCTGGTGGGATGGTTTGGACCCTACCAAACTGTCGCAATACCCTATTGGGGTGATAGGGTTCAACAATATCAAAGCATTTCAAACATCCAGTATAATATGCAACCTCATGAAGTGGATGGTGTGTCCTACATAAATGGTATGGATCCCACTCGATCTACAAATAAGGAATGCATAATGTTAGTTAGGAAACCTTTTTTTTTTTTTTTTATACAATATCACACTATTATAAAATGTCTAACTTCATTAGCATGTAACATGTCAAGTTGCTCTCGTAATGTCTGCGAGTGGTCTTCTGTAAAACCTCCATCTCTCCGCGAACTCCAACGACATACACGAGGTTGTTCATCAGAATAGGACAAATTTGGATGAGGCCTTCCTAAACGAAAATGCTCATAAATCCATGCTTCCAATAGCTTCAAGTAACCAGCAATCTGCTTAACACCAGCCCTACTAGCAAGTCCTAATTGTCTATACTGGAATGCTAAAGCTGCAGCACCCCATGCATATGAGCTAACAGCATCAATGTCAGTCAACATGTGCAGGTAAGCAACAGGTACTCGAGTCCCACTCTTGTCAGCGAAGAGGGTACAACCTAATAAATATAGCAAGTAAGCTCTCGCTACGTATTCTATGAAATTTGCATCATCTGTATCGTTAACTTCATGAAATCTAATTCGCAACCACTCTAGCTTCACGGATTGCCCACGAGATTGAACTAATTCTGCAAATGCATCATTCACTGGCACTCCCAAACTAGCATTCACCAGTTCAACAGCCTCGTATCATGTTAACTTAGGACATGACAAAGCCATGCCAGTGACGGGAATGCCAAGTATGGTCCCATCATCCAATGTGACAGTCATCTCACCATCTGGCATGTGAAATGTATTTGTCTCTAGATGTCACCTTTCAACAAAAGTAGATATTGCCACTCTATTGCCATGCCGATATGTGTGATCAATAAGGACACTAAGACCAGACTGCTCAACCAAATGTCTCCACCTAACATTTTGGACTGTTTGTGACGGCCACTCGGCAAGCTTTCGAGAACGATTCAAACATTTAAGAGGTCCCCGTTCCTGCATTTTACATAAAACATATAAATAATTTGAAGCATATAGTACACATGATTAGTTTATTGTTGAGAAATTCTCAAAATACCTTTTTCTTCCAAACAGCGGCAGCAACATGGTTACGGAAGCTAATTAGTAATGAAGGATCCTCTGGAGCACCCGGAACTGGTTCCGTGTTGTCATTATCCACACCAACATCGTCCTCAATGAGGTCGGCCTCTACACCAATATCATTATTGACATCGTCATCCTCCAGACCAATATCGTCGTCAACATTATCATTATTCGCATCCACATGGTCATCCTCCTCCACAGGGGCATTCACTTCCACTGGTTCAGGTTCTGTTTGCCTACCACGTCTTCTGTTGGATGCTGTTGGTCTCTTACGTGAGACACCACTAACCATTTCTGTGTAAAAAAAAAAACATTAAACCCAATATCAGCAAAAACTTGAATATATTAAATGACTGATGTAAACAATATCAACAAAGAAACCATAATTTCACAGATAAAAGGAGCCATTATGACTTCTTGTTAACTAAATTTCTGGAAATGTTTTCAGTCCCCTGGTAGGATATTAGTTTCCAAAATGCCCGTAAAGGAGCTTGTGGGCAAATAATAGTAAGGAACTTGGGCAATGTGGGCAAATAACAGTATAGCAGTACCATACTTCTATTAAGCAAATTGTAAGAATTCAATTTGCAGAGTTTTAGAGGAGGAAAAATAAGTTGGGACTAATGATCTTTAAGTACAACTGGAGATACATTTCATTTTTATTGGCATGCAACTGGAGATACATTTATCATTACGTTCGCATATTCTAATTCTACAATGTGTCCTGACACTATACATGTGCTTTCTTTCAATACAATAATGTCATTGTGCACATGAGAATTTTTAAATTCAACCACATTTATTAGACGTTCTACTTAATTTTGGTAAAAAAATGACAGGCCAGGTCTCTTCTTGGTCACTAGTTCATTTCTTTAACTTATTTTCTTTGATCTTATTTCTCGTGGAAAGCAACCCTTGAAAGTCATCGTCTAATTGTTCACAATTTTATCTTCTGCTAATTTTTTTATTGCATTTGGTCATTTTTTTTAAAATTTGTTTTGTGAAGAATACCTATACATTTAAGTGCACTGATTTCATAGCGATTATTTGATCATTTTAATTGATCCTTATTTTAAATGGGCCTACTTTTTTCAACTCTCAGTCCCTCCGATGCATCAGAAGTGACTTGGTGCTGCTTTCAATAGACACACTCGCTTTGAGTTTTTTTTTTTGGCACGTTGACTTCATTGACCATTACCTTCCACTTGTGGCATACTTGAAAACAAATATTCCTTCTTCGACTTACACGATTTCACATTCATTCCCCTCATTAAGTGGCTTTGTCTTGTTGCCTTGTATTGTTTCAATTATTCTGTGAGAACATCAATGATATACTTTGTCTCTTTATACACATTTTTCTCATAAACTATACCTCAAAATCATTTGCTTCCATGTCAATTCATTGTAATTCTACCCTTTTCCCCTTCCTAAAACTATCTATAATAGCACTGATTTCAATATCTGCTAATTCAGTTTCCTCGAGCAGGCTTCCTAACCTGTTGTATTCATTACTTCCTCCTCATCATGTGACTCCTTGTCTTAAATGTTAAATCTGTTGGAAAAAAATAGTTGAATAAGAAATTGCCTCATAAATGTGTATATAACTCACACATTTAAGGCTCATCAGTTTTACAAAATTGATTGGGCAGTTTTGCTAGCATTAGTTGCCAGCCTTGATGGCTAGAGGCTCCTCCCCTCTCCCCCATGGTGTATAAAAGGAGGCCCTATTCCTTGAAAAGAGATATAGAATTTTTCCTTGACATCCATACACTGTCAGTCTACTTCTCCTATAATTTTCTTCCTGAGAGAGAGTGCTGCCGTTGTTCGTTCGCTAAGCTAATCAGAAGGTGCTTCTGTTGTAGCTGGTAAAAACCGTCCTATCTTGAGAAGTAGACGCCGGCGTACCTTCAGCACCCAACGATGAGGCGGTGAATCTATTTTAAGGAGACTGTGGTATCACACAGGCTTCGGTTTGCTTCCTTTAACCATTTTATATTTTATCTGTATTTTATTCAGCATGTTATTTTTCCTGGGATTGAAGGTTTGTTTTGTTCATCTCATAATTTCGCGATATGCAATGTGAAATTATGTAATGTGAGTAGTTTTTCCCAACAAGCTTAAAATAGATTCGACGCCTATCATAGAATTAGATTAATAGATTCATAGGTGTGTGTAATAATTTTGCATGTAATTGGCCACTGGTAGTACTAGTGAGTTAATTGGTTTATTAGATGCATGTACACAGGGTTAGGCTTTTGATTTTGTCATTTTGTGTATGCTACTGTTTGGTCTTCCCATGGCATGGAATAGGCCACTGTTATCAATAGGGAAGAAGAGTTCCATTGGTGCAACGTTAATTCACTATATTTTCTAATTAATTTATTAATTTATGGTGTACCGGTTCAGGCCTTGTATTTCTAGATTTACATGCTTCTAGTTCACATGCTTCTAGTTTACAATATAAATTACATGTTCATTCGGGTTTAATTTTTAGTGTAATTTATATTTCTAGCATGTTTATTAGGTAGTAAATTTTCATGTAACTTGTACCTATTAATCTTTAATTTAGGTGTGGAGTTGTAAAGTTTATAACTTGCCTATATTTAAATTCATGTTAATTTCTCTAGAATTATTTGCATGTTAATCATGTCATTTGCAATTCTTGCCTAGTAATGTGATTTAAGTATTTAGGAGTTATAAAATGTTTGTAGCTTGCCTCAATTAATTACATGTTTAGTGTACCATAAGTTCATATGTAACCTTTACCAATTTAAAATATGGTTTAATTATATTTAATTTAGGTTTGTAACTTATATAGTTAATTACATGTTTATTATGTAATTAATTTTTTACAGTTTTTTTTTAGTTTAAATTCTAGATGTGTAACTTAAGGGTTGGATTTAATCTTTACTTACAGTTATTTATTAGTTTGTTTGCTAGCACCCTCCCCTTCAATCACTACTTTGCCAAAAGCAAAGAAAAGCTGAAGGAGGTTTTGTTGTATTTTGTTGCTAACTCTTTATTGCAGGAATACCTTTGGAAATGGGAAAAAGGATTAATTCGGACTAAATATTTGAAGCAATTGTTTGCTTGAGTGTTCATTTGTGGTTATTCACCAATATGTAAAGCACGTTTTATTTGCTTGTAATTATTGTAGCAATTTTGTTGTAATTGCTTGTATAGTTTGGAACTTGGTGTGTTTAACCTAGTTCATCCCTTGAAAAATTTAATTCTTAAAGTTGTTTCCCATGGACTAAGAGTCAACATGCTCTTGAAAGTTTTGTCTAAGGTTAACTGGGTTTTAAGTGGGACCGGTGTGACCCCTCCAGTCTTCCTGGAAACTTTCTTGACCATGTTCGATTCTACGTTGCGTGGTGAGACTAGTTTTGAATTAAATTTCCAATTGTGGGATTTTCTAGTGTTAAGTTTGATTTTTGGAAATACAGAATAGTGAAAATTCTGTTGTAATTTTTCAGAAATGGCAACTGTCTCTAATGCTGCTACTGCTGCTGCTAATGTTGTGGGGATCCGAACCCCGGGACGACTGGCTTGCCAACCCCTGCTGTGACCTCTGTGGTCAATCCTCCTGTTGTTACTCCGGCTGTTCCGGGAGGACCGCTCAATCATCACGAGCGCTCGGAGAGGTTCACGGGAGTGAATTTCAAGAGATGGCAGCAGAAGATGCTGTTTTATTTGACTACTCTAAGCCTTGCGAGGTTTCTGAGTGAAGATGTACTAGCCGTAGAGGAGAATGAGCAAGATAAACAAAAACTCATGGCTCTGGACGCTTGAAAACAAGCAGACTTCTTATGCCGGAATTACATTCTGAACGGCTTGGCGGATCCGCTTTTCAACAGTTTTATGCCAAGAAATCGGCTAAGGAGTTGTGGGATGCCTTGGACAAAAAGTACAAGACCGAGGATGCTGGGGTAAAGAAATTTATCGTCGGCCGGTTCCTGGACTTCAAGATGGTGGACTCTAAAACTGTCCTGAGTCAAGTCCAAGAGTTCCAAGTGATTCTGCACGAGATACATGCAGAAGGGATGGTCCTAAGTGAGTCATTCCAGGCAGCTACTTTGATTGAGAAGCTGCCTAACAGCTGGAAAGACTTCAAGAACTACTTGAAGCACAAACGAAAGGAGATGACAGTCGAAGAGCTCGTTGTCAGGCTCCGGATTGAAGAGGACAACAGGAAGAAAAGAGGGAGTACCTTCACTGTCAAAGCGAACATGGTTGAGCATGGCAAGTCCTCGAGGGCGAGGAAAAAACCATCGACAGGCAAAAGCTCAAAGTTGGGGGCTAGAGGAGGAATCTCCAAAAGGCCAGCTTACAAGCCAAAGGAGCCTACTTTTAGGTACGATGGCAAATGCTTCAACTGTGGAAGTGACGGGCATCGGGCAGTTGATTTTCTGAAGAAGAAGCCCTACAGGAAAAACCCTCCCCAACACAAAAACCGGGCACATATGGCTGAAATGGAGGAATTGTCACACGATGTGGATGACATGCATCTGTCAGCCGTCGTGTCAGAAGTGAACATGGTGGGGTCAAACCCGAGGGAGTGGTGGGTGGACACTGGGGCCACTCGCACTATTTGTGCAGAGAAGAGAATGTTCACAACTTTCGAACCGGTTTCAAACGGGGAGAAGTTGTTTATGGGAAACTCTGCAACCTCAGCTGTTGCGGGTAAAGGCAAGGTGATCCTGAAGATGACTTCAGGAAAAGAACTGACTTTGAACGATATCCTTTTTGTGCTAGACATTCGTAAGAACCTTGTCTCGGGGTCTCTCCTAAGCAAGCATGGCTTCCGCATGGTGTTTGAATCAGACAAGGTCGTGTTGACCAAGGGCGGGGTCTATGTGGGGAAGGGATATATGTTAGGTGGTATGTTTAAATCTAATGTAATGACACTTATCCCTAAGATTAATGAGAAAGCTTCTTCTTCTGCTTATATGCTTGAGTCCCCTAATTTATGGCATGGTAGATTAGGTCATGTAAATTTTGACTCTTTACGTAGATTAATCAAGTTAGATCACATACCATCTTTCAAGATTAATCCACAACACAAGTGTGAAACTTGTGTAGAAGCAAAATTGACAAGGTCTTCTTTTCATTCTATTGAAAGAAGTACCTAGCCTTTGGGTTTAGTGCATAGTGATGTGTGTGACTTGAAAGTTGTACAATCACATGGTTGCAACAAGTACTTCATCACTTTTGTTGATGATTGCACTAAATACTGTTATGTGTATTTGCTTAAAAGCAAAGACGAGGCTATTGATTAATTTATTCTTTTTA